TGGAAGATAATCTCATTAAGCAGCTTTCCAGTACAGGTTAGTCCTCCTTGGAGGCCAGCAGTACCTTGGCAAATTTCTTTAGACGTCAGAGAATCAGAACTTTGGGTGCCCAGCTGCATGTTTGACTAGCTAGTACAGGAAGGAGAAAGCGACCGCGGCCCTGCATGCAGGGAGTACAGGTGCAGGCTGTGTCCTGGAGCTGCTAATCTTTACGGGGTATTGGTTTTACTTTTGGGGAGCTCTTGCTCAAGGGGCGTGGGAGAAATGAAGAGTTGTGGGTCTGGTATCCTCACAAAGTGTGGAGGAGAAAGCAGAGGATCCAGGCCCTGTCCACTCATTGACTGGGAAAAAGCAGGATGCACCCAGGAAAAACAGAACAGCCAAGATAGAGCCAGGGTCTGAGGACTAGCAGAGCCTTTAATAGGAGCAAGTAGTAAGAGATCTGGGTGGAGTATTGTTGTCAGGGAAAGCTTCCTGGTAGAAAATGGTAGGTCTCGAAGGATAAAGAGTTGTTGAATGAATTGCTGTGCCTTAGAGTGCACGGTTGGGAATTCCGATAGATCTTTAAAAGGCCTCTCTTCTTCCTCCTCCCCTGACTCCTATGTCCGTGCAGGAAGACGTGTGGTCTTCATGGGAGATGAAACCTGGAATGATCTTTTCCCTGGAGTTTTCTCCCAAGCTTTATTCTTCCCATCCTTCAATGTCAGAGACCTAGAGACAGTGGACAATGGCATCATGAAACACCTCTACCCAACCAGTGAGCACGGGGTCCGAGGCAGGCCTGATCAAGACTGGGCGGTGGGGAGGGCTGTGTCTTTACAAATTCTGAACCTACCATGGGTGCAGTGGCCTGGGCCTCTGTCCCTGGACATAGGAATATCAGAGCCTGGCTGGGGTTGAAGAGTGAGCCTTAATCCCATGTGCTTAGGTTCTCTCCTTCACAGTGGACAGTGACAAATGGGACGTGCTGATTACTCACTTCCTGGGTGTGGATCACTGTGGCCACAAGCATGACCCTTACCATCCTGAAATGGCTAAGAAACTTACCCAAATGGATAAAATGATCCAGTGAGTGTGGGATTTTGGCTGGGGGAGTGGGTTTGTGTCTGATGATATGTGGTCCCAAAAGAAAAAAATCCATATTTGGGGTCCCTTTCTTGGTTGAATTCTGTCTTTAGGCCTTTCTTTGACACTAGGGGGTCTCATCCATTTTGAGTAACTCAGTGTGTGGTTTTGGGCAGTAGGGTTGTGACTGAAGAGGTGTCTTTCTGCCAGATGTCTAGGCCCCACTAATGGAAGTTATGGCTGGGGGTACATGGGCCCTGAAAAAAATATTTACCTCTCCCTACCTCCTGACACATTTCTTGATCCCCCCAGGGGACTTGTGAAGCGTCTGAAGAATGACACACTGCTGGTCGTGACTGGGGACCATGGGATGACCATCAGTGGGAACCATGGAGGAGAGAGTGAGCTGGAAACCTCAGCTGCACTTTTTCTATATAGTCCCAGAGCTCTCTTCCCCAGCGCTCCTGCAGAGGTAAGTCCTAAGATGTGCTTTGTGTGCTTTCCTGCCATTCAACTTACATCATGATCATAGCATTCTTGTGGATCCCTCCATTTTAATCCCCCAAATTCATGACCCTGGGCATCCTCCACTCTTGTTTCCTGCCTAAGTCCCCTATGTCTTCCACCCCAAACACTGACCTTACCTCTTTTTTTTTTTGGCTTCTCTACATGGCATGAGGGATCTTAGTTCACCAACCAAGGATCGAACCTATTCTCCCTGCGGTAAAATCACAGAGTCTTAACCACTGGACCTGGAAGTCCCCAGACCTCACCTCTTTGGTAAACCTGTTGACCTTTGTCCTTGTTCTCTAGAAGCCAGAGATAATTCCTCAGATCAGCCTTGTGCCTACACTGGCCCTGCTGCTGGGCCTGCCCATCCCATTTGGAAACATCGGGGAGGTGATAGCTGAGGTGTTCTCAGAGATTGAAGACTCCCAGCCTCGCTTCTCTGCTCTGGCCCAAGCCTCAGCTCTGCATCTCAATGCCCAGCAGGTAAGTAATGGGCTGGGCTTCCAGGTGACAGAGTTAGGTTGGGCATGGGAGAAACATAATAACCCACTTGGTTATCCCTTGTTCAGTCTTAATCACACATTCCGGAGCCATATCCTCCCTCTCCCTCTGTCCTAGAGAGATTTTGGGTTCCTGATTTCCAGGTACCCTCTTTGGTAGTACCTATCTTTGCCCGTGTCCCAATTTATGTCTCTGAGCTTCTCCCCTTGGCCCCTGATCTTTTTTGCCAGGTGTCTCGATTTCTTCACACCTACTCAGCCACCGCTCAGGACCTTCAAGTACAGAAGCTGCATCGATTGCAGAAGCTCTTCTCCAAGGCTTCTGCTGACTACCAGCGCCATCGGCAGAGCCCCCAGGGGGCCGAGGCAGCGCTCCAGACTGTGATTCCTGAGCTGCAGCAGTTCCTGCGGGGAGTTCGGGCCATGTGCATTGAGTCTTGGGCTCGTTTTTCTCTGGTCCGCATGGCAGGGGGTGCTGCTCTTTTGGCTGCTACCTGCTTTCTTTGCCTACTGGTATCCCAGTGGGCAGCATCCCCAGCCTTCTATTTCGGCCCTCTCCTAAAACCCATGGCCTCGGGTCTGAGCGGGGCCATGGTGTGTGCTGGACTCCTGGCATCCACTGGGCTGAAGCTGGATTTTGTGGTTGCAGGGGCCATGGCTGCAGTGGGCTCGCTCCTGCCTTTTCTGTGGAAAGCTTGGGCGAGCTGGGGCTCGAGAAGGCCCCTGGCATCTCTCCTTCCTATGCCCGGGCCAGTCCTGTTACTCCTGCTCCTTCGCTTTGCGGGTTTCTTCTCCGATAGCTATATTATAACCGAGGCCAGGGTTGCCCCCTTCCTTTTGATCTCACTCATCTTGCTCCTGGTTGCCCGACTTCACTGGGAGGGCAGACTGCTGCCACCTAAGCTACTCTCGATGCCTCGCCTTGGCTTTTTGACTCCAACAGGCCCCCCGCAATACAGTGCCATGCATGCCGTGGGACTTGGAGTTGGGTTGCTTTTATGTATAAGGCTAGCAGGACTTTTTTATCGCTGCCATGAAGAGACACCTGTTTGCAGCTCCTCTCCCTTGCTGAATCCCTTGCGATCCACAGTGGGCGGTCGAGCCAAGAATTTGTGGTACGGAGCTTGTGTCGGGGCGCTGGTGGCCCTGTTAGCCTCGGTGCGGCTGTGGCTTCGCTGCTATGGTAATCTCAAGAGCCCTGAGCCCCCCGTGCTCTTTGTGCGCTGGGGGCTGCCCCTCATAGGGCTGGGCACTGCCGCCTATTGGGCATTGGCATCAGGGGCAGATGAAGCACCGCCCCGTCTCCGGGCCCTGGTCTCTGGGGCGTCAGTTATGTTGCCTCGGGCTGTGGCAGGGTTGGCCGCCTCAGGGCTCCTGCTGCTGCTCTGGAGGCCTGTGACGGTGCTGGTGAAGGCCACAGCAGGTGCTCCAAGGGCCAGGACAGTCGTCACTCCCTTCTCAGGCCCCCCCACTTCTCAGGCTGACCTGGATTACGTGGTTCCTCAAATCTACCGACACATGCAAGAGGAGTTCCGGGGCCGGCTAGAGAGGACCAAATCTCAGGGTCTGCTGACGGTGGCCGCCTATCAGTTGGGGAGCGTCTACTCAGCTGCTGTGGTCACGGCCCTCACTCTCTTGGCCTTCCCACTTCTGCTATTGCATGCAGAGCGCATTAGCCTTGTGTTCCTGCTTCTGTTTCTGCAGAGCTTCCTTCTCCTGCATCTGCTTGCTGCCGGGATACCCATCACCACCCCTGGTAAATACATGTCTCAGCCCTGACTCATCCACGGACAGTAGGGATGTAAGTTCGGCCCCTCTTACCTTTAGGGAGGAGTTGCTCCTCAGGATCTTCACCTTGATGCAGGGTCTCACCCCCAGGCAAGAGGGTCTTCCTGATGGCCTCTCTCTCATCTGCTGTGGCCAAGCTAACTGAACCCTCCCAGTTGACTTTCAGGGCCAGCAGAATTCATGGAGGAGATAGACACACAGTACTCTAAGACTCAGTTTTTATGGAAATGCTGCATCCTCATGAGTGCATTTCCTGATTTTCCAGTGATGAGAGATAGTGAACTGTGTGTATATGAGAGAAAGAAGTTGTCCACAGATTAGAGCAGTGGGGTTTTGTGCCAGGGAGGGAATTTGAATAACAGAGTGCTGATCATTAGAAGGTTGGGGTGTTGGGGATGCGTGTGTGTAGGAGACTTAGCGCTGAGGCGGTTGTTGTGTGTGGTCTCGGGGCAGTGGGCTGTGGGGTAGGGAGTGGGACGTGACTGTAAAGAGGCATATCTGTCCCCCCAGGTCCTTTCACAGTGCCGTGGCATGCCGTCTTTGCGTGGGCCCTCACGGCCGCACAGACCTTCTATACCACCGGCCACCAGCCTGTCTTTTCCGCCATCCAATGGCACGCAGCCTTCGTGGGAGTCTCAGAGAGTCGTGACTTTACCTGGCTGTCTGCTTTCCTGGTGGGAGCCAACACCTTTGCCTCCCATATTCTCTTCGCAGGTACCTCCTCCTTCCTCCCTTGCTTCAACTGTGGCTTTGTGGAAGGAAAGGAGGCCCCTGCATTTGAGTAGGGAAAGATTATTTGTTAGATCTTTGGCACCCCTTGGCCTGTGCTGATTGGAGGCTGAGCCAGCTAGAGTATGTGGGGGACAGGGTCACCTGGTCCATGGGTCTTCCGTTGATTCTAGCCCTGCCTTTCTCTGAGGCAGTAGGTTGCCCGTTGCTCCTGCTCTGGCCCTTTCTGTGTGAGAATCAAGGATCCCGGAAGAGGCGGCAGCCCCCAGGAAATGAAGCTGAGGCCAGAGTCCGGCCTGAGGAGGAGCAGGAGCCACTGATGGAGATGCGGCTCCGGGACGCACCTCACCACTTCAGTGCCGCACTGCTGCAGCTGGGCCTCAAGTACCTCTTTGTCCTTGGTATTCAGGTGGGTGCCAGGAACAGATCATGGAGTGAGTGATCTTCTCACATGCGTGGACATCGCCTTCTTTCACACTTTGCCAAAACCCTAGGAGAGAGCCTTGACTGAGACTTAGATAAGTGAAGTGATTACCCAAAGGCCAGTGACCTCAAATGGCAATACTGAGACTTGAACCTAGGTCTCCATCCTAGTCTTGGATTGTTTCCTCTCTACAGGCTAGATCTGGACTTCATGGTTGCATTTGGGGATTACTCTATTGGACAGACTGGAAAAGCTGAGGTGATGGTCAGGATTCTTTCCCAAGCTGTGATAATTAATCTTCCTTTCATTCAGAGGCAGAGTGTGTGACTCTTGACATTCCCTCCACCCTGAGAGGCCGAGCCTGAGTGTTAAGAGACACAGATAAATAGTGCTTGTCCACGGTCACACTGCAAGTCATAGTAGGGCCAAGAAAAGAATTAGGTTTCCTAACTCTTACCCCAGAGTTCTTCACTGACAGGTACTGCTTCCCTTCCCCTTCCATTCTTCACAGGGGTCTGCAGCAACTCTCTGCTTGGCCCGCTTCCTCCCCCCCTTCCCAAATGACTTGATGCCTCCTCTCTTCCCTCAGATTCTGGCCTGTGCCTTGGCAGCCTCCATCCTCCGCAGGCATCTCTTGGTCTGGAAGGTGTTTGCCCCCAAGTGAGTGGATCTGCTTGAGAAATGTTGCTGTGGGGAGGGTGGACCTTGGAGCAAACAATGAACATCCAGAATGGACAAGGTTTTGCCTCAGTGGGGAAAAGACTCTAGATCTACTGTTTGTGTCCTTTGAGATTCTCTACCTTTCTTTGCAGGTTCATTTTTGAGGCCGTGGGCTTCATTGTGAGCAGCGTGGGACTTTGTCTAGGCATAGCTTTGGTGATGCGAGTAGATGGTGCTGTGAGCTCCTGGTTCAGGCAGTTAGTTCTAACCCAGCAGAAAGCTGGAGAAAAATCTAGCCTGGTCTATACGGGTGCTGGATCATCTGCAAGAGAAGCTCAGCCACACCTCTTACCGCCGTGCAGCCAGGACCTACTGACATCTGGGACTTCATTATTTTATAATTCAAGATCATAGTGGAGCCTAATTCCTGACTCCTGCATTGGATACATCTGAGGAACTGAGGGGCAGTCTCCAAAGTGGAATAAAATAATAATGTAATTATATGTGTCTGAGGTGTGGGGAAGCCCCGACTGTCCTATAGGGGATATGAGGAAGTTCTGTCTCCCTTATCCAGGCACAGATGGGATCAGCTGTCTTACACAGACCTGGCTGCATCTAAGACCCTTTGAGAAGTGGTTAGAGTTGTCTGAATTCACTTCTCCCAACTCTTTGCAAATCACCACTGTTTTTCCACCTGCCATTTCCCTTTGCCATGGGATGTATCTTACTAAATTCTTTTGCTTTGGCCGATGACAGAGCCGTGTCACGGCGCACAGGCTCACCGTCTGAAGCCCCAAGAATGCTGTGATCCTCGGTGTGTGCTCACTTCAGAACACTCTCTGCCCTCTCTCCTGTGGAGGCCTCCCTGGAGCAGACCTGCTTGCCCATCTCACACACCTTGTCCCATTGATTATTCCTGATTTGGGGCCAAAACCGTATGAATCTGAAGATCCTCAGGTGTCTCCGGCGCCCCTCTATGTTGTGTTAAAGTGCTGGCATGAAATCCTCATGGAAATGTCCACTCAAAAAATGGGAAAGCGGTTTCTGAGGAGAAGGGTCAGCACTGGGGTTTGAGGGAACCCAGAACAGGAAGAGATGAGACCACTTGAAGAGATGAGGTATATGATTTGCAAATAATTTCTCCCACTTTGTGACTTTTCTTTGACTTTTCTTGTATTTCTTTTCTATTGAGAAATCATCTCTGAATTTTCCCCCCAGTTTTACTGAGATATAATTGACATCACTGTTTAAGGTGTACAGCACAATGGTTTGACTTACATCTTTGATGGTGTCTTTGTGGCAGAAGAGGTTTTAATTTTATTGGAGTCCAGTTTATCCATGTTTAGTTGACTGTGTAGATGGCAAGGGTCGCAGTTTGTTTTTTCTTTGCATGTGGAGCTCCAGTTCTGTTGCCTCCATTTGTTGAGGATTGGGCAGGTACATCTGAGCAGTGCAGGGGGCACAAGCGTGGGGCTGCCCCGCCAGCCAGTCGGACCGCATGTGGTTGAACAGACTGGTGGGCATGCTGGTGCTTCATGGTGATAGGATGTGCTGATTACCAAGGGCCTCCGTCTCCGGTCGTTCTCAATTATTTAACTTATGACTGTGCTAGGTCTTTGGTGCTGCACCTAAACTTTCTCTAGTTGCCAGGAGCAGGGCCACGCTTCCTTGTGGTGGGTGGGCTTCTCCTTGGGCGACTTCTCTTGTTGCAGCTGGCAGAATCCGTAGTTGTGGCTCCGGGGCTTAGTTGCCCCGAGGAATGTGGGATCCTCCTCCATCAGGGATCGAACCGTGATCGCCGTATTGGGGATCTCAACCAATGGACCACCAGGAAGTCCTGGTCCACACTTTTTGAAGAGACTTCTGGGGCTGGACTTTTCCTGGCGGCTCCCACTGGTACTACAACTCCCAGCATGCATAGGGCGGGCCAGCCTGCCGCGGCGGGGGAGGTTCCCGGCCCGTGTGGGCCTTTGGCTGGGAGGGAAGGGCTTCGCCGCAGGTTCCGGGTGTTTGAGGTCAACTTCCCAAGGCTTTGGCGGCCTCGACGGCTGAACAGCGGGACGGCGAGCCCTACGACCTCCCCCACTCAGACACGCCTCCCGCCTCTGGTCTGGCCCCTTCTTTCAATTTCCCGCGAGGAGTAAGTAACCCTTGAAGACGACCAACCGGCGCCTAGCATTTTGCCAACCGGGCCAACCAGAAGCGCGGGTGAAAAGGCGGAGGTGGAATCCCCGCCAAGCAGGGGACAGTCCGTTCTCCCGGAAAAGGTAGGCCGTCCTGACTGGAACCCCGCGAACAGCGAAGGATTCTTGGCCCGGAGCAGAAGTGCACGAACCCTTTCTTCCTTGCTCAGTGGGGGCTTCAGAGGGGCCAGGCTTACCCTTCAGCAGCCCCCTTCAGGTGTCTGGGCCCAGCCTTGGCTATCATGGCTCACAAGACTCTGGGCTCTTCAGCCTCACACGTCAGCTGCCTGGACCTGTGGAGGGAAAAGAATGACCAGCTAGTTCGACAGGCCAAGGTAACGCGGTTGCTGGGACCCTTGCTTTGCAACCCCCAGATACCAGGACGAGGGTAGGCAGTGGATTTACTCTGGCCAGTGGGGAGGGGCTGAGCTTGACCTCCCCTAAAGAACCAGAAATGGCTGGAGAATGACACCTCTTGCCACAGCTGCAAGGAAAGTACTGTTACCCCATCCGACATCTGACAGGTTGCTGAGGACTCAAGTCTGACTCTGAGGCGACAGCAGTTGGCTCGGGATGCACTGGAGGGGCTCAGGGGACTCCTCTGTAGTCTGCGGGGTAAGTAGGGCCTCCCCAGGATGGTCACCCTCCCTCCGCAGCCAGAGGCCAGTTCCTCTAATGCATGTCTGGAATTGCGGCGATTACTTAGGGGGTAAGGGGTCCTGTTTAAGACACAGACAGGACTGGAATGGAATCATCTTTGTACAGGTGAATATCTCCCTTACACACACACACACACACACACACACACAGAAGCATTTGAAAAAGCGGTTTCCATTACACACACACACACACACACACACACACAAGCATTTGAAAAAGCGGTTTCCATTACACACACACACACACACACACACACACACACGAGCATTTGAAAAAGCGGTTTCCATTACACACACACACACACACACACACACATTTGAAAAAGCAGTTTCCAAGATGGCCTATTTGGAAAACATTCTGGCCGTTCTATAATCTACCAGAGTGGGTTCTTTATTGAGGCCATTTTGGTTGGGGTGGGGTGATCTCTTTCACCCGAGAGTGGTCTGTGAGATCAGCGTTTGTTGCCCCAGGACTCCCCGCGACTGTTTCTGTTCTCCCTTTGGAACTGACTGTCATCTGCAACTTTATTACCCTGAGGGCAAACCTGGCCCAGGGTTTCACTGAGGACATGGCACAGGATATCCAGCAGGGCCTAGAGAGAGGTGAGGGCCAGAGACTGCCTTCCGTGCCCCTGCCAGCCTCAGTCTGGGCTTAAGTTCTTGCAGGGGGGATAGGAGGAACAACATAATCTGTCACCTCCACAGAGATGCCCTTCTTTGACCCTCCATGTGTCCCTCAGACCAGGAGCACCTTTGTGACCTTCGGGCTCCTGGAGAGAGGGAAAGCCAGATGAGGCTGCATCTCAGCTCTGTGTGTGTGTCTACTCTACAGTGCTGGAGACGCAGGGGCAGCCAGAAGCCAGGCCGGAACACGGGCTCAGGGGGCTGTGGGACTCCGCCCTCCGTGTTTCCTCCCTCCTGCCGGAGCTGCTCCCTGCCTTTCACCACCTTGCCGGCCTGCAGGCTGCCCTCTGGCTGACCACGAACCGTCTTGGGGACCTGACCTTGCTGCTGCAGACCCTGACTGTTAGCCAGGTAATTCAGATAGTGATCTGGATCAAAGGGTCTCTTTCCTCCTCCCACCCTTCCTAGCTGCAGTATCATCATTATGTGCTGAAAAGGCTGCTGGGTTGGTGTTCAGAAGACCTTGGTTCTCTCAGGACTCTTAGGTGACCTTGCTCTGATTTGTTCCTCATAGGAGGGATTTTCTTGGGAGCTTGATTATCTTGGGTAGAATTAGGGCTCTTGTGACCTTGCTGAAGTCACTTCCCTGCTTCAGTCTTTGCATCAGTAACCCAAATATGATCCCTGCTGTGTGTCCTTGTGGACTTACCCTGAGTGAGAAGACTCAAGATCATCACTGCCCCAGATTTTTCTTCCTACCTGTATCCTTTCCCCACAGCTATTAATCTCTTAGAAATGAGGGAACAAGAATCAAGAGGATCCTTGAGTTTAAAGTCCAGTCAGGGCAGACTGAGATAGAGAAGGGGTAGTTACAAGCCTGGAACCTCTCATCATCCTTCTTCCCCAGAGCAGGGCCTCTGAGGATGTGCTGCTGCTTCTGAAAACTTGGAGACCCCCAGCTGAGGAGTCAGATGCTCCGCTGACCCTGCAGGATGCCCGAGGCTTGAGGGATGTCCTTCTGACAGCATTTGCCTATCGTCAAGGCCAGTTAGCAATCTGACTTGTCCCTTGCCCTCCACTTCCTGTCTTAAGAAGTCCTCTAGGCTCACGTCTTTCCTGTCCTGTACCATTCAGCTTGGTGGGACTTCTCTGTGCTCTTCCCCATCAGGCCCGCTTGCCTTGTTGGCCTCTCTAAGCCTACAGCCTGTTTGCCCACAGGCCTCCAGGAGCTGATCACAGGGAGCTTGCCCAAGGCACTGAGCAGCCTGCATGAAGCGGCCTCAGGTCTGTGCCCACGGTCTCTGTTGGTCCAGGTGTACACAGCCCTGGGAACCTGTCTTCGTAAGATGGTAAAGACTGTCCTAGGATGAGCTGGAGAAACCATAGCTTCCTGCTCTGTGAGGGCAGCTGAGGCTCGTGTCCTTTGTGTCCTTCACCCCCAGGGCAGTCCGCAGAGAGCTCTGCTCTACTTGGTTGCAGCCCTGAAGGAGGGATCAACCTGGGGTCCCCCGCTTCTGGAGGCCTCCAGGCTATATCAGCAACTGGGGAACATAGCAGCGGAGATTGAGAGTCTGGAGCTGCTGGTTGAGGTAAGGAACTGTGCCAGGTGAAGATGCGGGAAATGCTGAGATGCTTGTGCTGGTGTGACTAGTCAAGGTTTAAGTAGAAGGATGTATAGTTCCCGGAGATTATAGATATACTTTCTTCTTTTTATTAGGCTTTGAGTATCACTCGTATCCCTGAAGCCCATCAGCTTCTTATTGAGGTAGAGTTATTACTCCCACGACCTGACCCAGCCTCACCCCTTCACTGTGGCACACAGAGCCAGGCCAAGTACCTGCTAGCAAGCCGATGCCTACAGACAGGAAGGTGAGGTCCATCTTGCTCACCTGAGCGCCCCTCCCCACTTCTGATGCCTCCCCTGTGGTGTGACTGCTTCTGTTCTTGCAAGTTGAGAGGATAAATAAGTCAGGGGTGGGACACGGGTCCCCACAGTCAGCTTCCTGCCTTGCTACTGGACCTGAGCTGAGGACTCTACCCAGTCACTATCCTCCTATATCTTGAAAACTCTATAAAGTCTTTTCCCAGATCCAGACTGTAAATACTGTAGATCCATACTGAGCCAGTGTTGGAGTCCCACACCTCACCTTCCCCTCACCCCAGGGCCCTTAGCTAAGAGCTTTTGGAGGGCCCTGCCATGGCCTAAGGTGAGGCTCGTGGGTTATGACTCTTCAGGGCAGCGGACGCTGCAGAACATTACCTGGACCTGCTCGCCCTGTTGCTGGATGGCTCAGAGCTAAAGGTGGGTATGCCACATTTCTCTGTATTGGGGTGGGAGAGTTGGAGTTTCCTTTGGAGTAGAGCAGGAGTGCTTTTTTCTGACTTTTCCTCTGCTCTTCTTTCTGTCCATTCTGGGAGACCAGACTGGGAAGGTTCCCAGAGCAAGGGAGATCCAGGGCAGCAAGCAGTGGATGGTCCCTGCATGATACTAGAGCCTGGTGATGGTATTGGAGGTAGTAGTTCATGTCTCCTCAAGACAGTGCATTGCATTCTCTTCCCACTCCAGTTCTCCCCACCACCTTGCCCCCCAGGGCCCTGTATGCCTGAGTTGTTTTTGGAGGCAGCAGCAGCGTTGATCCAGGCAGGCCGAGCCCAGGATGCTTTGACAGTATGTGAGGAGCTGCTTAGCCGCACATCATTTCTGCTTCCCAAGAGGCCTCGGCTGTGGGAAGATGCCAGAAGAAGAACCAAAGAGTCACCACACTCTTCACCCTGGGTCTCTGCTACCCATCTGCTTCAGGGCCAAGCTTGGGTGCAACTGGGGGCCCAAAAGGAGGCAATTAGTGAATATAGCCGGTGAGTCCAGGAAGCCAACCATGACCCTAGGGGAAATGTGGGGGGATAATTTTGTGATTGGGACCTGAGTTGGTGAGCTCTATTTTTAGTCTACTCACCCCAGAGTTTCTGAGGTTGACTCTTCTCTATCCCTGCTCTCTGTCCCACTCCAGGTGTCTTGAGCTGCTCTTCCGGGCCACACCTAAGGATGAAGAACAAGGTGAGCTAGACTTAGTTTTCCTCTGTGGTGGTGGTGGTTTCCTTTCCATGTGTCCTAGTCCACCAAGAGATTTAAGAGAAAGGGACTCCAAACACAAGAGATACGGCATTGAGGTTTTGGGGAAAGTCTGGCTGGAAACAAATGTCTTGATTTTTGGAGAGGTCCCCAGGGCCTGCTTCCAGCTGTGAGCAGGGGTGTACATCAGATATGGCACTACAACAGCTTCGGACAGCTGCCCTGATTAGTCGTGGACTGGAATGGGTGGCCCTTGGCCAGGATACCAAAGCCCTACAGGACTTCCTTCTCAGTGTGCAGATGTGTCCAGGTAGGTACGTGTGCAGGCCGTCAGCTGTGCATGGATGTGTAAGGACAGAGAGGGGGAGGTACTTGGGGATTAGTGTAAGAGTATGCTCCTTGATAGGAGGGGTGGATGGGGTTGTGCCTGTATATATGTAGGGATACATAACAGTTGTGCAGACATATGCAAGACATACACGCATGTGTGAAGGCCTCCCAGGAGTTCTCTAGGCTTCCTAATGTCTTCAGACACAAAGACCGTGCCTGTGCTGAGAGTATGTTGGGCAGGAGCAGGGTCAGCTGAGCCCTTTGTCCTGGGCAGGGAGTGCCCAGGTTTAGGCATTGTTGGCAATGATGTACCCCTGATTCCATGTAGGCAACACACATCCCTGCTCTAGGCCTTAGTTTCCCCTTTTATAAAATGATTTTAAGTCTGTGTCAAGTTCTAAGGCCCTGTGCTCTGGGGTGGGGCTACAGGTAATCAAGATGCTTCCTATCACCTGCTTCAGACTCTGAGGAGGCTGGATCGGAGAGATGAGGCCACTGCTCTCTGGCGGAGGCTGGAGGCCCAAACTGAGTTGCTACTGGAGAATACTGCATGGTGAGGTTAAGGGGGCAGCTGGCTTCTAGAGTCCTTAGGGCTATTGGGGGTGGTAGTGAATTAAGGGAGTGATCTTCTGCCTATCCTCCCTTAGACATCACCCTTTTTGCTTTCAGGTCCCTCCCCCTGTACTTAGAAACCTGTTTGGGCTGGATCCGTCCCCCTGACCGTGAAACCCTTCGTGAGGAATTTCAGACATCTGGAGACTTGTGACCTGTAGCTGCCATGTTTCAAAGAACCAGAACTGGGGCCTCAGTGGGCCATCTGTGGGGAGGGCTTTCTGCTATCCCATCCTTGGGAAATGTGGCTGGAGCTGACCATTCCAGTATATGTCTGGCATTGGAGAGGTTGGTGGTAGTCCTGCAAAATTTGGTCTGGTTACTGCTATTCTGATTCCAGAGAAGCCCTGCTTCCACCAACAAGGCATTGACTTGCTCATAGCACCTTTTATCCTGTTTCCCTTTTCATGTGTTGAGTAAAATTTCATATCTACCTGTTGTCTGCCTACTATATATACTTGACGTGGGAAGGCTCACAGCTTTCTGATTCAGTTGAGTGCCAGTTGTCCATGATACCCTCTCCCAACATCATCTACCTTATGAGCCTCGAGAAGGGGCTAAGGGAATCCTTACTCAAAAAGCAGTGCCTTTAATCCTTGCTGCTGCTGCTGCTACCTTTGCTAAATCGTTTCAGTTGTGTCCGACTCTGTGCGACCCCATAGACGGCAGCCCACCAGGCTCCCCCGTCCCTGGGATTCTCCAGGCAAGAACACTGGAGTGGGTTGCCATTTCCTTCTCCAATGCGTGAAAGTGAAATGTGAAAGTGAAGTCGCTCAGTCGTGTCCGACTCTTAGGGACCCCATGGACCGCTGCTTACCAGACTCCTCCGTCCATGGGATTTTCCAGGCAAGAGTACTGGAGTGGGGTGCCATTGCCTTCTCCGTTAATCCTTGTTACCTGAAAGCAAAAATTCTTAGAGGCGAGAAACAAGCAGACCTCTGAGTCTCAGATTCCCACCCCCACCCTAATCCCAAATTTGGATTTCCACTGTCTGAGTCAACTATGTCTGTGTCAATAGGGGGTGAAGGGTGAATTCAGTCAACGGGCCCCCACAGCTGCATATTGAATATAGTTAGCGCGACCTGGCGATTTGGACATGAATTTGAGCAAACTCTGGGAGCTAGTGAAAGTAAAGACTGGCTCACTGCAGTCTGTGGGGTTGCAGAGTCGGACACGACTTAGCGATTTAACAGCAACAACCTGGCATTTTGGGCCCAAGGACTTCCAAGTCTCAGTGTACAATTTTCTTGCTGCCTTGGGCTCTGCTGAGTGTTCTGTAGCTGCCTTTTGACTCCTTTCTGGACTTGAGTCCACTCCCTCCTTTAGCCATGAATATTAATAACGAGTGGAAAGGAAGCATGTATCTCCAAGCCCCGAGAAACTGTAAAGCCTATGGGATTACGATTATGAAAGGGTGTAATGACGATAGGGTAGAGTGGATTAAGAGCTGGGGTGCTAGTCAGAGTACAGAATAAAGGTGGCTGGAGCCGGCGTCCTGAAGGACCAAGGAGAGGGGTTAGAGTGGATCCTCAGGCTTTGGAAGAAGACGGGTGTGTAGGTTATCAATACAACTGGACTAGACTAATATAAGGGTTCAATCCATTGTGCCAGGTTTTTCTAGTAGGGTAAACTCAGGAGCCAATGAACTGGAGCCAAGTGGGAGAGTCTGCCTCCCATGGATAAAGGCTCTCCTTTCGCCAGTCGATCTGGCCCTATTCTTTTCGTTGATTGGTCGGAAATCCCAATCCGTCGAGGAAGCGTATCGTTGCGGCCAATTGACGTGGCGTTACTAGGCGTGTTGCGCCCCTGAGGCGGGAGCCAGGCCACAAACGAATTTCCTGATTGGCTCCGTTCCGCGGGTTGCTGGGGAGAGGCACGGAGAGGCGGGCGGGAGTTGCCACGGCAGACGCTGATTGGCTGGGGTGAGAGCACCTCTCCTTCCGATGATTCGGCTCTTCTCCGCTCAGTCTTAGCGAAGCGTCTCTGCAGCCGTCGTTTGAGTCGTCGCTGCCGCTACCCCCTCGCGGATCAGGCGCCAGCGCCGCCCGCCCGCTCGTCCACCGCCCTAGTGCCGCTGGGAGGAAACAAGAGGGAGGCTTGGGGGGTTTGTCGCCGCCACTCGCCTCCTCTCCGGGAGAGCCGAGTCCCGGCCCAGTCGGTCGCCTGACACCCCTCAGAGCCGTTACCCGCGGTCCGCCACAGCCGCCGGCTGGGAGAAGCGCGCGCCATGGCCTCCGGAGCTGAGTGAGTGTGTGCGCGTGCCCGCCCGCCCCCTGTGGGTGCGCGCACCGGGAGACCCACCGCGCTGGGTAGGCCCGGCCGGGCCTTACTGTGGGCGCGTCTTGGAGGTGGAGACAGGGAACGAGGGAGAGGGAAGAAGAGGAAAGGGGCGAATGAGGAGCCGCGGACCCGGACCCAGCTGCGCACCCGCGCGCCCCCTAGGCGGGGCTTGAGTTGGGCCTGGGTCGGGGCCTGGGCCAGACCTGCTGTGTCATGCAGGCCCGGGCCGGCCGCATTGGCTCCTTTGGAACGGCCGTCTCAGCCTAGTGAGGTCTACGGGCTCACACTGACGGCGCAGAGCCCCGGGGCCTTGCGGCGCCCACCTGCGATCTGATCTGCCACCCTCTTTGGGCCTTTGGTCCCAGGAGAGCGCAGGCCCCGCGGCGGGCCCAACGCCCTAACTGGGCCCGGTGGGCGTGGACTTTGAGCCACGTGAAGGCCTCAGCCCGGAGACCGAGGCGGAGGCCGGCGCTGGGAAGGGCCTGGGAACTCAGGAAAGCTCACGAAAGCCCTTTTAGAGCTGGGTCGGCGTGGCCAGTAGTTGAAGACCTGAATGGTGAGAGGCTGTTGAGGAAAGGGCAGGCCCAGCCGTTCGCTTCTGGCCGCCTTCATATTAATACTTGAGGCCTGTTATTCATACGAGAATGCTTTCGTCAGTTTTCCTTGATGTTGTGAAATGGGGTTCTTTAGGTTCTTGCTAAAATTCAAATCTCAGTTTTTTGTCGGCCTTTCTAGATTTCAGCCTTTGTTGTGAAGGTTAGAGTTCCCTTAAACTCACACATTCGTTTCCCTAAGCAGCTGTGTTGAGAAATCCTGGGCCCTCTGCTTAGGAAAGCATCAGATAAAACCTGACCACCTCTGCCCATTTTAGAATCAAGAGCTTTAGATACTGGGGGTATAGGGGGAGACACTGCCATCCTGTGGAACCCCTTCTATGCAAATCACTTTACTGAGTTTAGAGTTTAGGTGGTTTTTTTTTTTTTTTTTTTAAGACTTGTTCCTTTTTTTCAAGTTTCTGAATTGAGATGAAGTATTACTCAGGTGCCTATTTAAAAGAACTACTTACTAATTAAAGTAGTCTCTTAGTCTTTAGTTTCCAAGACTGAAAGTCCAGAATTCTTGGAACCTGGCGTCATAAGACAGTTTCTGATCTCTAGGTCATCTTGATGACCCTTACCTGAACCCTGTCCAAGTCTCCTGTGGCCCGTTGGGGTTCTGAAAGGGGCCTGAATCATGCCGACTACCAGGAGGATGTCCCCCAAAACAGTTCTCCAGGACTGTTGGCCCGGGATCAAACTGAATTCTGTTATGTAGAGGTTACTTCCTTTGATCTCAGTAGATAGATGTGGAATTAAAGGTCTTTAAGAGCATCCCACTCTTCTCCAGTGCCAGAGTCAGGAATGTAGGCAGAATGGAGATTTTCCTAGAATGCAGCTTTGTGGTTACAATACAAAGTGATAGCTAGAGGCACCTGACATTTTATTTTTTTCTAGCCTTAGCCCTATACATCAGACAGGAAGATGGGCAGGCCTTGAAGGATATTTTGATGCATGGGAGAGAGGGAGAATTGATGGATTTAAATTGCCCTCTCATATTGACCACGGTGCTTTCCAGAGTGTTTATAAGCATTGGAAGAGTATGCCCCTGCAGCATTGTGATCACCACTTTTGGGTTAAAAAGTTAGTCACTCAGTCGTGTCTGACTCTTTGTGACCCCATGGACTGTAGCCCACCAGGCTCCTCTCTCTGTAGAATTCTCCAGGCAAGAATACTGGAGTGGGTTGCCATTTCCTTCTCCAGGGGACTTTTGGATTGGGGGAGGCAAATTTAAGCTAAGGAAACTCCACTCTTGGAAGTTAGTTTAAAGGGAATAAATAAAGATCCAGGTTATGTGAGAGGGTCAGCAGAAAACTTATAATATTTTTAGATGAGTGGGATTTGTGTAATATTACTTTTGAATGTTTCAGGACCAAAAGATGTAAAAAAAAATCCTGTTAACTTCCTAGCTGTTATTCTAGAGTACAGACATCTTTTTTTCTTGCAAACTGTGAAGATATTTCCAGTAGGAATACTATTTTGTCTTTTGTTGGCTGATAATTCCCAGATCCTCGAACGATGCCTGGTGTATTTATGGAATTCTCAAGGCAAGAATACTGGAGTGGGTAGCCAGTCCCTTCTCCAGGAGATCTTCCCAACCCAGGAATCAAACCCAGGTCTCCCACATTGCAGGCAGGTTCTTTGCCATCTGAACCACCAGGGAAAAACATATATATGCGTGCATGCTAAATTGCTTCAGTCATGTCCAACTCTGTGCAATGCTATGGACCATAGCCTGTCAAACTCCTCTGTCCATGGAATTCTGCAGGCAAGAATACTGACGAGTTGGTGGCCATGTCCTCCTCCAGGGGATCTTCCTGACCCAGAGATCAAACCCGAGTCTCCTGCATTGGCAGGCAGGTTCTGTACCGCTAGTGCCAGGAAGCTCACACACACACAAACACACCCCTTGTTAATTTGTTGAGTGAAGAAATAGTCCATGGGAAATTTTTCTTTTTATTTATTCCTTGGTGTCTTCCATTGTCTGGCCTCCTTATTTGGGTTAATGCCCATGTTTTCCTGAGCTTTAATAAGAGAAGGTAAGACCTTCTCTTCAAAGGGAGATCCCACAGAGAAATTGGTGTTGGGAAGTGGTTCAGATAGTTTATTTAGGTAGTTTAAACTGAGTTCAGACTCAGGCAACCTTGATTTAGACAAGAGGGATTTGGATTTGTCCCATGTCTCAGCATTTCTTGGTTTTAACTTTTTGAACCAACTCCATGGAGTTGTGTGTCTTTGCAGAGATAACTGTGAAACTGCATTTGAGCTTGAGCTTCTTTCTGGTGAAGATTCCAGATCTGATAGTGTTGTGTGTTCACTTTTTTCAAATATGATGGTCCTTATGCTTTGCATTCCTCTGGTGCACAGAATGCTCTGGCGTTCAGCAAGCTTAGCCAGTAGGAAGGGTAATTCTAGTGATTCTTCTTCATAGTTTCCAGGCTTACTCTGTGGGGCTTGGGGCCTCTCTCAGCCCCATGGGAGGTTGTCTTACTGCAAGAAGGTCAGCAAAGAAAGAGCTTGTGCAATGTTCTGCAATGCTAATCATACTAAACGTCATACCATATGCCAGGTGTTCATATCTCACTTAAGACAGCCCATTTTGCCTTCAACATCTCACTATTTTAAGGTAGTAATCCTCTGAGATGAGTGCTATTGTAGAGAGGTCAAATCACTTGCCCAAGATCATAGCTAAGTGGCAGGGTTGGAATTCAGACCCAACAGGTCTGACTGCAGAGCCCCTTCTCTTAATTACTGTTCTGTACCGTCTATTTTCATTTCTCTGATTACTGCTCAGCCTCCACTTTTATTTTGTTTTCTTAGTTTCCTGACCCTAGGCAAGATCACCTGGGGCCTTACAGCTAGGATACCAGTACTCGGAATACCAAGAGTTGCTGAAACAGGAATTGTAATATATACTTGATAAGCATTCTTGATCTTGACTGACTTTCTCTTTATTTGGGCTCTATGTGGGGACAACTTCGTCAATGCACTATTTCTTTCCTAAGTGTGAGTTTTAGAGACTGGTGGGGACATTGCTGGAATTTGTTTTGGAACTGACTTCTTTTTCTCTTTCTAGTTCAAAAGGCGATGATTTATCAACAGCCATTCTTAAACAGAAAAACCGTCCCAATCGGTTAATTGTTGATGAAGCCATCAATGAGGACAACAGTGTGGTATCCTTGTCCCAGGTAAGTTGGGTCCACAGTCCAGTCTTTGCTTATTGCACTTAACCTGAGGGCTTTTCCCAGGTTTCTTCTCTCATTTTTCTTGCAGTGACCACAGATAGAATGGGGTTTACTGGGAATCCCAACCTCCAGGGCTGCTGCTTATTCCCTGGCCCAGTGACCCAAAGGCCTTAACCTTCTTTCCTCAGCCCAAGATGGATGAGCTGCAGTTGTTCCGAGGTGACACAGTGTTGCTGAAAGGAAAGAAGAGGCGGGAAGCTGTGTGCATTGTGCTTTCTGATGACACATGTTCTGATGAGAAGATTCGAATGAATAGAGTTGTTCGGAATAACCTTCGCGTACACCTGGGGGATGTCATCAGGTGTGTGTGGAGTTCTTGGCCCCTCAGGGATGGGAGGCCAGAGGCTGCCTGCTGTACAGGCAGCACCCCCACAAAGGCCTTGGCACCTGCAGATGTTGGGAGCTTGCAGGCCATGGGGAGACTTAGGTTTCTAGGTCATCTTTAGGTTTTGGGTCTGCCTCTGGGACTTAAAATCTGCCTCTGCATGACCCTTGGGACAGGTTGGCTTGACTTTCTTGGTACCTTTATTTTTTTCTACCAGGGGTCACACCATAGACCTTGGTTTAGGATGCCATTTGAGGGTTGTATCTGCCAAATAAGCTTGTAGCCTTGCATTAATGGCTTTTGTTGGGGCTAGGATGAGATGGAGTATG